TGTCACACATGTGTGTCACTAACAGGGTTAGGGTGATCTGCAGACATGTGATTTGCTCAGTTTTGCTCAATATTCCTTTTTTAATTCACAGGAGAGTGATCGGACTCAAAACAGGATTCTATGTGGCTTAAAAAGATATTCAGTGGTTCAAGTAACAAATAGTTCAAAGGAGGCAGATTTTAAGTAGGGCGCTAACTCAAATATCTGTTAGATTTTGAAGGGTTGGTTCACCCAAATGACAAAACAACATATCATCTCACTTACCTCTCATGGTTTCTATACATCCAGATGTTTTATTTGCTCAGGTATTGAGATGCAATGAGATTTCTGCCACCACTCAAAAACTATGGAGGTAAATTAAATTTGTTTGTGATGTTCACCACATAGTTTAAAAAATACATTATTTGGGTGAACTGACCCTTTAATACCTCTAAAAGAGCTAAGGTCCATTAAAGGATGACCCCATCTGTGTTCTTTCCCAGGTTTTTCAATTGGAAACACCCACTTCGCCGTAAGCTAATCAATCAGGTTATGAAGAAACTAGCAACTCTGAATAGAGCGATATAACGGTTTCAGTTACCGCTTACCGGAAAGGCTGTCTGACGGCGAGGTAAAGCAGAAGGGAACAGCAGAAAAACATATTTTAGCAACCTTAAGAGAAGGCCCCCCTAAAAAATTCACCATCTGTTAAAGTTTACTCGATATTTAAAATATATTTCACTGCTTTATCTTGCCATCAGACACTTTTTTCAAACTGGGAACTGAAGGAGTTGCATCGCTCTCTTCAAAGTCACCGAATTCAATTGACAAAAGCAGTAATTTTACCTCGTAGAACTTTTGTTGGTCCACCAATGCATCAATTACGTTAGTGTGTTTGTGTTACTCAGTGGTGGGCCGTGCATTTTATACCTTTCGCAACCTTTCGTGTTTCACCTGTCAACACAACAAATGTAGATTCATCTGACAATAGTCCCCAACAATAGCCTACTTCCTGTTTGACTGACGTTAATTTAACACCACATTGCCCAGCTGTTTTCAAATTAGATTATAGAATTGTCACCCAATTTACATGCATTGCATTATTAATTTTATAGAGTAGTAACAAGCTCTCAATTAACCATGTGTAATGTGTCGCCTGTAGTGACAAACCTGCAGAGAAATATCACCAACATTGTTGGGGTTTTAGCCACGGCTTTCATTAGTGTTGTTACCAAATAAAAAAATTCTAAACTACAGTTTCAAAATCAGTTTACAGGAATATATTTAAGGATTATTAATTTAATAATGTTAGATGCTGAACTCCAGAGGGTGAGAGAGAGTTCAAGTATGGACTGAAGAGAAGACTCTGTCGCACATACAGACATGGCAAAGATGTATCACGCCAGTGCTACTGTGGTGATCTCAATCATCACACATGTATGTCAATGTTGCATTTAATGCTTGTTCTGCTGCTCTCAAGGGGCCCAAATTAATCTGTTAATGCAGCATTACTAATGCCGAGTTATGCTGTGTTCACACCAAGCAAATTTTGCGTTGTGTTACTCGTCGAGGTTTGATCTCAGGTTAATTCGTGTTTGTTCACGTGTTTGCTCATTTCACTGAGCTGTATTCACTGTATCTAGCAAGCCACACATCGGCTGGTTTACCACAGCTGTATGAACACAAAATTAAAAAAATTGCTGTGATTTAATTGCAATGACCGGATAAAAAGGATGCTGAAATAACTACATAATGTTGCAGATTAGTAATAAGTCTATATTCATCGATCGGTGCTAGGCTTTGCTAACAATGTAGCAGCTCCATCAACACTCAAAATAACATCATATAGGTGTAAATACGGCAGTTGTTATTGATTGTACCATATGGTATTTTACACGCACATTTATATACGGGTCATTGACGAATAAGGCTTCTAAAAAGGTAATTTTAAAAATTATCTTCAAAATGGATGCAATGCATATTTTTGTGTCTGGAAAAATGTATTGAAACACGTCTAAGTTGTGAACCAACTTTTCATAGTGTTTTAAATAGTTTTTAACAGTATTTTTTAACTTCACAGGCTAAAAAATGTCAGGTGGCGCAACCACATATTTATAAAAAATATATATATTTTCCTAATATTTATTCAAACTGAAATTTTTGACAAGTATCCCTTAGAGTGTCTACTGTGTCTAACACATCGTATTTTGTGGTTGTGTTTTATATATATACAATAATTTATCATAATTGTGTTCTCTTGGCCAGGTATTTAGTGTATTTAACTTTTGACTTTACATTTAAACAGAGAAACATAATAATACAAATATACAAATGAATACATTCAATAAAATAGTTCTTCACATCATATTAAGCAAAAAAAATTGACTTTAACCTATTATTTATTGCTTTAAATTAATATTTTACCTGGTCGCACCACCATGACATTTATCAGTTGTGCCACCTGACAATATTAGTAATCACAGCAAATATGCAGACAATTTGCATTTTTTTTTTCAAATACAACAACATGCTTTTAGTCAACAGACTCTTTTTAAGTAAAAGTAGTAAATATTTCATAGTAATCATATTTAGCACATAACTGGAATAGGCAAAATCACAGTCGCTTCCGCCTGGGGTGTTGCAGCTTCTACCTCATTGTAGCAGCGTTTTGCACACACTCCATACAGGACTTGTTGTCTGCTCCCTGCGTCGTGCTGGTTTTGCTTTACTTGACAGTGGCATCCTTAATAGTTAAACAATATTCATTAATATCATGAAAAATAGTTTGAAAGTGTATAATAACATTAACTTAACACTGTTAAACTTTTGAAATTTTTTTTAAAATAATGTCAGAGCTTTAAATATAATATCATACAGTAACATTCTTTGCAGTTGCACCACCTGCCTTACTGGTTGCACCACCTGACATTTGCAACTGATTTCATATTAAACAGGCATCTACTAGGACACTAGCATTAGCTTTTGTTCTTGCTAACAACTTCATACATATACATTTTAAATAAAATAAAGACATTTATGATAAAATAACATTTTTCTAGTTTTACATTGGTTGTACCGCCCTGACATGGAAAGTGAACCACTCTACCTATAAGTTGAAAGTAGCTGTTTTTATCAATATTCAAAAGAGATATAAAAACGTTTTCACTCTGCTATAAAGGTCAGTTGAGGTCCTCTTGATGATGCAATAACCTGTTTACTGTTTTCCACTTTCATTTTATAATAAAAGTCCCATCTTTACAGCTGTGCCACCCTGATATTTGAGAACATTCAAATTGCTGGACAAAGGTTTTTAAATTATCGCAACAGCTTAAAACTATTGGTATGTGTAAAAATTTTGGTTTATTTGAATCGTTTCAACAATAAAAGCATGCCATAGTATTTTATTTTTAATTTATTATCATTTAAATACCTTTTTTAATAGTTTTCTTAGACTGTTCATCTGCTAGGACAGGTGCACCGCCTGACATTTTCAGGGTTTGAGATGCCAAAACATAAAATAATATATATTATTTGATTGTACTGAAAATGTATCAAAACTGGATAGGTTTTATAGAATGAAATGATATATGTCACGAATTATTTTAAAAAGGAAATTGTGGACTCTATTGTGGAAAATATGCATGTCATGTCATTGACCCATACATAGTTTCGTCCAGTCTCTGGACTATGTATTATAGAGCTCTGGGTGAAAACCTATGGCTACAATATTTTTTTCCTCCATTTCTGATTCAACAACGTCAGGACATCAGTGATGACAGGAGGAGAATCTCAACGCTCATAGGCTTTTGAGACACAGCGTCATGCAAATTTGTTACTTGAGTTGAAAAATGTCAACTTGTGAATGAGGCTAACGTCTTGTTATACGCGCCATTTAATTCGCCTCATTCGCACTGTTCGGCTTGATTTCACATATAGTTGCGTTCATTCGCGTCTTTGCACTGACTTTGGATGTAATTGGATGTAGGCTTTGAGTTTGATGTTAAGTAGTAACCAATGGGCTTGGGGCTGAATGCTAGAGACACGGTCAGGACATTGGGAAGTATTGAGAGATGGGCCAACATGTTGGAATAGATGGCAATAAGAAAAATATAGAATAACACCAGCTCTATCCTTAAAACTTATGTCAAATTGAGACCACACTGCAACAGCAGACCATCTTTCTGTTTTGTGCCATAAAGCAAAACAATGCAGCAGATTCCTTAAAGCAAATGGATGGCCCCTGGCCCTCTCAACAACGGTTTCAGTCATTCACAGTTATAAAACACATCATGTGTCACACAACTGCATGCAGCACACGGGGTAAGCTTCAGCTTTTACTGAAGTGTTTCTGCAATCCAAGTCAATGATCCAAGTCCTGGTGACCGGATGCTCGTTTCTGGAGGCAAACTGAAGCAGAGACGAGATATAAACAAATCCTCCACATGTTGTTTCCTTCTCTAACCTTTCGCCTTTTTTTCCATTTACAGCCATGCAAGCCCTCTGAAAGGATCACTTGACACTCCATCCATCCCCTCTCCTGCCTCCGTCCCTCCATCTTCTCCCCTCTCTCCAACCTCCCTGCCCTCCTCCAACCCTCCGGTCCGGCCATGTCGACCCAAACCGCCCCCTCCCACGCTGAAGTCCTCCCAGCTCCCCTTGTGTGCTCCTCTACCTACATCCACTCCTCCAACCCTCCCTCCCCCTCTACCCCCCATCTCCAAACCCCCTCCTACTCTCCCTCCCATCTCCAAACCTCCTCCCCCCCTCTCCTCCAATCCTCCCCCTTCCTCTGTTCCTCCCCCTCTCTCCTACAACCCTCCTCCCCCGTCTCTTCCTCCCCCTCTCTCCCCTACTCCAGTCTCTCCTGCTCCCCTGCTTTCTCTGCAGCCAACTGATCTTACTCCCTTCTTAACTTCTCTTCCCGCTCCATTGTTGCCAGCAATCCCATCCTCCTCCTCCCCCTCATCTCCTCCTCCTCCTCCTACCCCTGTTATCCCACCATCACCTCCAACTCCTCCATTGCTGAGTCCTTTAGCTCGACTGGTTGCGAGTGTCTCTGTATGGCAGCCAAAAGGACTCAGCCAAGACCAAACCACAAGTATAATGGAGAAAGAGATGGCTGGGGTGAGACACACACACATTTACACACTGTTCAACTCTTCGAATTAGAGTTTATATTAAAACCTCTCTGGAAAAAAACATTGCGTTTTGGACAGAACGTTCAGAGACAATACTCAAACCCTGTAGTTTGGTAGTCTAAGACATTGAAGTGTTTAAATATTCTCCGGATTTCCGTAAAATGCGTAATTATATATATACACATATGTGACGTTGGCGACCAAACTACAGGGTTTGAGTAT